AACACTCTTATAACTGCAACGATCGCAGCCTAACTCGGTTAGAAAATAGCAGTTTTGAACCTGTATTAATAGTCATACAGAAAGAAGCAATAAATTATGTTAATCCCGTATGATGTAAAACAGCACATTTCATATCTGATTCTGAATAAATACTCAAATACACCATCATAACCAAACACATTTTATACATTTATAATGTTCTTGTAAGCTTATATCTGGAAGCAGGGCTACAATAAAGTTTTGAACATCAAATTATGCGTTTAGCCTCTTTTCATTACTCGAAAAATATACTCTAAGACCTGGAGTTCAAATGAGTTCTCAGTGTCCTTCATTTTCCAAAATATAGGCCTACCATAAACTATTTTCTTTATTCAGACGCTTGCGAAATAACAAAACATCATTTAAAAGTACATTTAAATCCACTCATAGACTGATAGCACATACTTTACAGGGAAGTCGGTCCCAATTTTACGCGCTCCATCTAAAATCCACTCCGAAACCGAGGTTTACCACATTCAACGAAGACTGACTCTGAAATGTTGGCTGAACTCCCTCGTTTGTACCATAGACAGGTGTTCAACAAATCAATACTGCTACATATTGAGGATATTTATGCCTTTTTAGTGCTTTACAATCATGTTAGTAATAATAAGTTGCTTTGTAAGAATGTATTTTTCCACCTTAATTGGAATAAAGAAAACCCTATCACATTTCCCCTAACACTCTTAAATAGCATTATTATGCACTAATGACGTGACACTATTAATAGTGAACAATGCCCGTCTGTCACTCTCACAATATTCCGTCTGTATCCGTGGATGTATACTATTGCAACATCAATTTAATAAATACCATTATTTATTCTTTGCTGTTTGGGGTTCTGCTTATATTGCATTTAATGGTTATATAGAAGACACCACTGTCAGGGCTGTTGTAATGAAAGGCTTTCTCTGTGAAGCACAAATAAAATATTTTCCTTCCAGTTGTAAATTCCGCGATGTTATGGATTGTGTAGGGGGCAACCCCTTCCAGAGGAAAGGTGCTAATCTAGGTATTGTTGGGAAGAAAAAAACGTAACGCGTTAATAAAACCTAGTCTTTGCCGCTTGCCTTTCCCCGACAAAACGAACACTTTTCATCCTGTGAAACTGCCACGGTTACAACACGTGGAGACGTTACCTCTTGACTTTCGTTTCCTTCCGCTACTGTTAAGCGATTTAGTTCACACAAAAATACGAAGTTTATACATTAGAAGCAATTTGCAAGTTGAAACCGAAACAGGGAAAGTGGTTATACTGTATGAATCTGCCTGGTGTTCTGTGCTATAGCCTTTTAATACTGATTATCCTATCCCGTTTCTCTTGCTTTCATCGATTTCAAAAGCTTCTGTACGCTTCCTGATGCGGTATCTTGTAACAGTGACGGTATATTAGAATGTCACATCGCATCAGTACCTCAAGCTTAAATAAAATAATGGAGTGCTGTAGGATTGCTAGACTGGCACACTGTTAACAACAGCAAGAATCCTAGAAATGCACACCATTTAGCTATCTGTGACGGTCGTCTTGAAAACACAAAGTCCTTCTTTATGTGTTTCTGTGCGTATACGTACCCACTTGATTTGTTCATACATTTTACCAGGGATCTCGATTTACAACACATAGTCTATTGTATACGTACCTGTGTGTTCCCAAATTCCGAATCCAGGTCTAGCATTAGTTTACAGCTGACGAGTTTTTGAAATGGCCTTATCGCCCTATGTTTAGACGCAATTAATGCCTTTCAAAAGTCGTTTTAACAACCATCGCTTATTATCACTGTATTATGTAGTGGGGCATAAGTCAATTAATTAAGGATAAAAAGGCAATATTTTAATGAACTCCTAATGCTCAATAAAAAGTTAAAATTGTGAATGAGAAGCGTATGAAACTGATATGAGTAGTATTCGTCTGTTTCCCCCCACTTGATTTTTCATCATCTAAAGACTGAGATGTATGATAGCACCTCTATTGAGCTGAAATACAGGCAGCGTGCCTTAAATCGAAAAAGCAGGTGTGTTTTAAGTTAAAGCACTGGATTTGAGAGCTTCTTTGATTTTGTGTGTGTGCATATATTTCATTGGACTATCTGTTTATTCCAAATATAGAGGATGGGTAACCTTGAGTACCACATCACTTTTGTTTCCTCCACTCTTTCACTTCTGCCACCTTTTCACTTCCTGATTTTCCCTTTTCATTTACTGACGCTTACTTACCACTTAATTACGGGTTTCGCATTCTCAGCTAATTCGGTGCGCCGAGCCTCTTTTCATGTAAATATAGACGTTGTCTGCTGGAATGTGATGTGCCCTGATAATTCTTGTTAATTCCTGCCGTAATTTATATTGTCGCAATTATAACGCTTTGATGTTCTCGGAATTTCGAGCTGCGTTGCTTACAAAACGCTGGGGAAAAGAGACGACGTTTAAAAAAGTAGAAATATTACAGGAACGAAAAAGGAAAGTAAAACGGGAAAAAAAATCAGATCTGCTCAGGTTCTGTAATCTAATACTTCTATAGAGACTCTAAAGAACAATAGTGAAGATAATTTGAATGTTGATTTTGTTCTAATTGTACAACTGAAGAAAGAACAGGAATACTTAATATCTTACCCCCCCCCCCTCCGTAAATTTGAATATTTATGGAAAAAACAATTCACTGGCATCAACTTCTCCTTTTCTAGGGAAAAAAAACATCTGAAACATCCCGTGTTACATTATAATACTTAATGCATTTTATTGTGAAGCCTAAATTCTAAACGAACTTAACAGTTTCTTGTTTAATTTTCATTCTCTCTGACTTAACCTTCGTGACCCGATTACAAGCTAAATAAAACGTTTCACCACAGCAGCGAATTACTTCAATTAGCCAAACACATGCTTTAAGTCATTATTTCACGGCTTGTAACAGCAACAACAACAGCACACACAATCAGAATAATAGAAAATGAAAACATACAGCGAGAAAGCCAGCCGTCTCCATAGATGCAGAGCGGAGGGAAAGTAAAAGTTCCCTGGGAGACCAAGCAGGTGAGGCGCCACATCTCAAAAGAGGAATTGAAAGTTCGCAAAATTTGACTTTGTTTTGGGTTAGTGTTTAGGTGGCAGGTACTCTGCAGTCGAGCACAACCTACTGGATTAACTACGGACTTCTCTCCCTCTTCAAAGCATATACTGTACGCTAGCTATGAGGGTTTTACGGGATTTGGATAAAAATGCAACAGCTGTATGTAATAATGAGGGGTAAACATAAAAATGTACACCATATCTCATTGTAATATGTTAAAACTTTAAACTAAGGACTAAATTGAAAGGCAATATTTGAATTAATTATATGGTTGTACCCAACGACTGCAAATGTACTGTATAGCATACAAAGAGCGCATTAGTCTTCAAAAGAAAACATTCAAATATACTTTATATAATACGCTATATATATTTATGGTGAAACATATTGCTATTTCACTTATGACTGTGTGTTTTACATTTTATTTCTTATTCAATTTCTTTTAAAATTGTATTTTTTTTATTTTCTGTTTTTATGAATGAAATACCTAAGTGATTTTTTTTAAAACGACACACATTTAATATTTTCAGTCCTTGTTCATATTTCAGCTTCGTGCCAGACTCATTTTATCAGGGATCACTTATACATTTCACTTAATAATCACAACTGAGCGAGTCATACATCAACCTCGTTTTGCCTGCGGGTCACTGAAGCAGTGATCTGTTTGAACAGACGAATTTGCATGTTGTAACTATTATTACGTGCTATCCTCTTTTGGGGAAGCACACTCGCGTACTAAATAGCTAAAAATCTAAATTGCAAGACCATTGCCAGATGATAGGTGTGTCACATTGTACTTGGGACATATGTTAAAACGGGACAGTAAAAAATAAACAATGATTCGTATGGAATTAGAAACCATTGTGGGACAAACTAGGTGTACCGACGTAATGTATTTTAAAACGGCACCACAATCATAAAAGATCATTCAGAATTCCCCTTTTAACATTCCACATTGTCACATTTACTGTAAATGTTATCATACTTCATTTGTTGTTGTTGTTGTTGTTTTTAGTTTTGAAACATTGCAAACAGCACAATTGTATCTTCCACGTTTAGTTTTCGATTCTTGGGGGCTCAGAACGCGACCATTAAATCAGAATCCAGGCATGTTCTACACGAGGTCGTTGTGTACTGAGATTAGTGCTGCAAAAACAGGTGCAAAAAATGAAAGCTTTAACCAGCTACGTCCCAAAGGAATTCTGGACAATTGTTCTCATTTAATACACATTTCCCTTCAGGGGATTGTCACATTAGACAGACTATTATTTATTGAATTGAGCTCTTGCTAGTTGATTTCCTAGACTGCTAATAATATTTAGAATGTGGTTTCATCGTTTTGAAGTGTAGAACTAATTTCCTCGAGTAATGTTTGGTAAATATTTGGTCAAAATATTCGACACTATGAATTTCCACATATACGAACAGTATATAAAGATAACGGTTTCAAACTGTAGAAAAGGGTGTCTAAAGTCGGCTTCTAGTTGTATTTTCAGTGACAACATTTTGCATTGGTATTAGAAACGGTAATGTTTTGTAAGCAAATATGTAAAACGGACTTTTGAATTCTTTGGTTAAGTCGTTTGCATAGACTGGGATTCAGAGAGGTTCGTTTGCCGCTATCTCCTTAGGATTTGTACCCTTAAAACCCTGGTTTTATTGCAAGAAGGCTGAAGGGCTATGTTTGTACCATTTTGAGTAAATGGATTCGGGGAGGGAAAAAAAGTAACCCTTTTTTTTCCTCCCCAATCTTTGTTTATGTAGTAATATACATATTTTTTGTAAAGGTATTACGTCTCTCTCTCCGTGCTGATTGGGCGCCCAGGTTGGTAAGTGAACGCCCTGCGATTATGTCAGATTGCGTGCAGACCAAACCAGCCCAGCCTTTGAACTTCACCGCTTTTGGCTCTCATTCACCAGCTTTTCCTCATTTCCAAGCCAGGTGCTTTGCAAGGCGAGACACCTCCAAGAAAAATACAAACAGTTTAAGCCTAATCGCCATCGGAACTCGCATCACCTTGGTGGATCTTGCATATGTACGGCTACCATACATTGCCACTGAAGTACAGAACCCATTTTTTTTTCAAGAAGAAAATATTTATTCTCGTGTTGATTACTGGAGAATCGGCCCCTGGATTTTTTATTCTTCTTCGTTTTTTAGCCTTTTTTCCACTCATCTGAGAACTGGTATGATCAGTTACGATCTACGGGACAGGTGAACTGATTTCCTGCTTGGTGAACTAACTTCTGTTGTTCTTATAAAAGGGGATAAAAAAAGGACGGTATTTAAAATGTCAAAGCCTGTAGATCACATTAAAAGACCCATGAATGCCTTCATGGTTTGGTCCCGGGGCCAAAGGAGGAAAATGGCACAGGAAAACCCCAAAATGCACAATTCGGAAATCAGCAAAAGACTCGGAGCCGAATGGAAACTGCTTTCGGAATCTGAAAAGCGACCTTACATCGACGAGGCGAAGAGACTGAGAGCGCAGCACATGAAAGAACACCCAGATTACAAGTACAGACCTAGACGCAAACCCAAGAATTTGCTGAAGAAAGACAGGTATGTCTTTCCCTTACCCTACCTCGGGGACACGGATCATTTGAAAGGACTCCCGGTCTCGGCCACAGACTCCCTTTTGGGTTCATCAGAAAAAGCCAGGGCGTTCCTCCCACCGACTTCAGCGCCTTACTCCTTTCTCGACCCCAGCCAGTTCAGCTCCAGTGCCATTCAGAAGATGGCAGAGGTGCCCCACACTTTGACCACCAGCACTTTGCCCTACGCCTCCTCCTTAGGATACCAGAACGGCGCTTTCGGCAGTTTGAGCTGCCCCAGTCAGCACACTCACACCCACCCGTCACCCACAAACCCGGGTTACGTGGTTCCCTGTAACTGTACCGCCTGGTCAGCGTCTAGTTTACAGCCCCCAGTTGCCTACATACTTTTCCCAGGTATGACCAAGACTGGAATAGACCCCTACTCTTCAGCCCACGCCGCTGCTATGTAACATTAAGCCAGATTTATTTCTGAAACTTGAATACTACAATGCATGTAAATAAAAGACTGTGAGAAAAAAAAAAACTTAAAGAAATGAATGACCAATCACTAACTGAAGCCGTGGACTTCTGTTTTAAAGAAAACGAACAAAAAACTTTTTATGATTATTAACAGGACGCTTCTACAAAGACCTCAGCACGGAACTTGGAATAGCTATAAGGCAGGCGCCCCGAGAACTGTAAGAATTGTAAATGTTAAAACGTTTATTGCTGGCTACCGAAATAAAAAGGCGGCCTTTAAGTTTATTTATTATGTACATTTTGATGCTATAATAACTGTTTTGTTTTAATGATTAATATTATAATTATTTCCAAAACATTTTTGGTTTGCACAGTTCAGAAGTACCATTTTCATGTAAAAATATAATAATATCTTGACACAGAATTTTTTGAATCACAAGTGTCAAAAATAGGAGTTCTGAATTTTTAAAAAAATATGCGGAATATATTGTTTATATTTATGGAACAGGCACAATAAATTAGATTGTTTATTTAAAATATCCAATGAAAAAAGTCAGTCCTTATGCTTTTTTATTTTATTTTTTACTTTTTTGTGGTCCAGTGCAAATAGTCACACGTTACATTTAATTTTAGAGAGCACTTCAAATATGAAGTCAGGCAGTTTAATGTTGTATTTTTTAACTAAAATGGTAATTTAATCATGTTAAAGTATGTCATGGAAAGAAAAAAAAATGTATCCAGAAGGATGTTACCTCGTATCTCTGTTCATTTGACGGGCACAGACGTTTTGAATAAAGACAATCTGTCTTCAAAAATATAAAATATGTTGTATGATTATATATTGCAAATATTACTTATAATTTAGTTGCGTGTGTTAGAAAAAAAACCGATTTGGACACATCCCCTGCATCCAAAAATGAATCCTGGTGGCATTTGGCCTACTGCTCAAACTTCATAAGATTAAGATTTTTCTCCGTGTTACAAACTGAGGGATGCTTGTGTTAAAGACAAGTGCACGAACATAAGAGGGATATATAATTGACACGTTGTGAAACTTCTGAAGAGCTTGTTTTTCACTCAATTTTATCTTTTAGTCCGTGTGACCTGGAGTTGAATCTCAAACTCGTGCCAAAGATACAAGGTGAACTATGGTTTAAGATGCGATGTTTTTCTAGTTTAATACTATATTAAATACCACAGGCTTATGTTTTGTTTACTTAAGAGTGCAATTCAGTTTTCTTCTGAATATTAGTCTTGTTACGTGTTTTTATCTTTATGTAGTGAAATTGCTCTAAATCTGTCGTTGGTGTATTTGTGGATACGCTTCTTTGGGAAATACACTTGCTTGCGATTCGGTGTGAAAAGGCTACAGCGTTGAAGCGTAGCAAGGAAATAAAGGCAGCTTAACCATGTTGTGCTAGACAATTAGTAGTGTTTGAAAAACTGTTAGCAGGGATCATTTATCAGCCCGGTTGTTAAAGGAAGCTGGGGCTTTTCATTAAAGAGAGTAGCAGTTGTCCATCTGGTTCCACTGAATTGCAATGTGATCCGTCTTGTCTGCGCAACGTTTCCAGAAGTGTAGTAGCGAGACTGTCAGAAAAATGGCACAACACAATTAACAAACACGGGACCCGGTAACATAATAGAAGCCTCAAAATACGAGCGAATGAATTAAAGATCAGGCTGGGACAAACAAAAGAGGGAAAATCAGTTTAGAGAGTGGGGGTGGTTAGAAAGCTTATCCACGCTGTTTTAGCTTCACAAAACACTTCACACAGAAGGACAATTAGTGAAAAGAGTGACTCGAGCAGCATTCAAAGGTGAACAATTATCGCTTTTGCTTTGGCGCAGCTTTCGAGTTAATTTCTTAAACGGAGTAGGGCGGAGTGCATCTAGGGCGCTTCGAGAAAAAGTGAACGAACCGGGCTTTGATAATAGATGCACTGGGAAGGTCAGCAACAAAGAGCCGCGGCCCACCTGATGTAACTCGGACTGACATTTGCTGTCACCTCTTATCCGGTTTTGCGTGTGTCCATGTCAGACAGGTCTACTCCATTTAAGCTTTGCAAAACAAAAATAAATATCAATAGTAGTGAGATTGGGCAAGACTGCGAATAGTCCCTTTACATATGCTTCCCATTAAGAATAAAAAGCAAATGTATAGTATTGATCGCGTATGCTACATTTGAAGAAACTGAGAATTTCATGCTTTTAGTTACTGCTGAACATTTAATGTTTCAGGTATAACTTGATTCTAGTTCTCAGGCTACATACCCTTTCGTACTTAATTAAACAAGTGAAGCACATACCAAGAAAAGGAAAACGTGTTTAGTTGTAGCTCTTAATTTCCCCTTTGGTCGCATGGAGTCACGAATCATTTTAATCACTGCTGAATTGTTGTTTGCCGTTTGAGGTGCGTATTTCACGTGGCTTGTAATTTTGCAGTTTTGCCATGTTCATTTTTATTTCGCAGACAAAGGTTCGCAGACCTGTTTGTAATCTGGTTCCTAAAACCTGGTCTCTGCCTTCAGTTGTGCAAGCAATGTTATTCAATCATCGTGACACTGAAGTGAAACGATTACTACGTTTGATATCCAAACGTGTAGGAGAGCGCTTCCCTCGAGGGCATTTCTTCTTGTCCGACCTGTTTGACAGCACCTTGTCTGTCTTTCAGAGGAAAATCATTAAAACGCACGAGATGCTTGTCTGTACTTAGACAACATTTCTTAACTTCAGCTGTGCAGACGGGCACGTGAAGGTCTGTACGGGTTGAGGAGAGGTTGTAGCTGAAAACCACAGCAATTGTTTTTATCTTATTATTATCGCCCCAATTGTAACGTGTGCCCTGCGAGCTGTTACTGGTTCCAATGATTTTGATCACGAAATGCGCAACGTTATAAATGTTATCTTCAATAAGAAAAAAACATACAACTACTTTTTAAGAAGCAGAGGCTGTAGCATTTTAAGCTGGTTTTCCTTTAGCGTCGCTTAAAAAAAGAACTGCTAGCATTGCAGTTAGTGAAACTATTACAGAACAGAGTTGTTTTGCTATACAGGCATGGTGATTTTCTTATACATAATGGAACTGGGAAAGGTGATCTATAAGCTACCAAGCAGGCAATTAGTTTGAACTTAGTTGTAGTCTAATTTGCTTTACTTTGTAGAAGAACTGATAAGTTCTAAATCCTCATGTTGGAATACAACTCTTAAAATACTACCACCGTGAGAAACAAATCTTTTTTATTAAGGTTGCGTAATAGGAAGTGATGTAGAGGCCCACTGAAATGAGAAGATGTATAAGAAAAACATTAGTAACATTCTCATTGTAATGTTAGCAAATTCTTATTTACTATTTAAAACTATTTAATATAGTTTTCAAGAAAAGAAGGTCCTGGAAGACTTGTTATCGTCCAATTTAAGGAATGACGTTTCCTAAGTAGTGCGAGATCGTTTTCCATATTGCAAGGGTGCTGTTTTATATGATTTCAGTTTTTGATGTTTAATTTTTTGAGTAATTTTCAGTCATCAATGGATCCCATTGGCTTATTCATATTTTTTGTTGTTGAAACCCCTCTCTCCTATTCACCGCCTACATGCTCGCATCTTTGCTAGCCGTTTACACATTACAGGGCGTGCCTAAGCCCTTAAGAAAGATCAAAGTTAATAAAATCCTCCCAATTTTCTAAAGACAAACAACAAAATGCCTCATATTACTAACAAGCCACATTTAAATAGTCAAACATGAAACAACGTGCGGGGATCATCTCAGAACACATACCAGCAACCATCTTCTTTTAACTTGAAAAGCTCGACAAAAATAAAAACATAACACCGCTGGTGCCAGGTTTTCCTTTTTTAGGTAAGTGGGTTTAGAACTAGTAATTATTGAAATCTAAGATGAGATTCATTCAAAGAAAACAAGCTTGCAAAACAATTGCGTTGAGGGTACAGACAGAGGATTGCAATTCGCCTGTACTTTCGTCTATTGTCGCAGGGCAGGGAATGGGATTTCCACACCGAGGTGTAATAGCATTACTGTATTAATTAAAATTTTCATTTCACATCCAGATTGTTTACTTATCTGCCAGGAACATATGCCGAGAGAAGTTAAGATTCTGGATTCTGCACTATTGCCCAAGGTGCAATTCAATATAGGGGAGGGAGGAGGGGAGGAGGCAGGCAGCCCCAGATTTTTATGACAGACTCTGCTCTTATCTGGCGCTGTAAATTATGGTGATACTCCATTGAACTGAATATGAAGTTTTACATCAGCCCCCTAAAGCGTGCAGACTCAACTTTGAAATTGGACAATGATAATTACTTCTAGGGCCTCTTATATAAAGAATAGGCAGAAAAAAAGCGCATTTTCTGTAATACTGTATTACATTTGGACTTGTTATGGTAATCAATTCCTTTACTATCCTTCCCGAATTAATGCCACTTGAGCTAAAAGCATATTTATTAGACTCGTACAATCATCCGGAGAGTCTGGAGTTCAAATTTAACTGCTGTGTATTTAATACAAATAAATTATTCAAAAGAGCATCACTGCATGTTGTCACTTTATCACAGATATATGTCTTTCATTCTGAAATTGTAAAAATACGTACGTCCGTATCCATATTTCGGAGATCTATTTGCATGCATACATACTTAACTGTAGCCATTGTTTTTTTATTATTTCTATAAACAATATTGAATTAAGATCCAGGTTTGTAATAATTTTAAAATCAATTAGTGCAATTTTCTATAGTCTGAAAAAGCATATAGGGAGAGCGTATGTGTAATTAGATGTTAATTTATGAACGCTTCATGGTAATTAATCAGCTGTGATCATTTCTAGTATATTGAATTGGCACGGTCCGTCTTTACAAGTTTAAGTTTATTCACGGTCAAAAACAAAACAAATGGCACCCGAGAAATAAAAGGAAGAAAATTGTGATTCGAAATTATAGGCATCCTAAATCTCCCTTTAACTGCTCTCCCAGACGTTTTTATTTTAACACAACAGAACCCAAGTGGTTCCAGAGTAGAATTCAATCTCCCTTATCTCTCTGGGGCTCCTTTCAGGCTGAGATCAGAGAAAAAGAGAGGATAATTGTTCTTTATTTTATTTAATTTAATACGACAGCCAGTGCTTTCAGGTCATTTATATGCTTAATTTAGTGATAAAAGTCAATGAGGAGGGAACACAAGCCCGCTTTTCACTCCTCAAAACACTTTAGTCAAAATTATAAAACACATGAAACAAAAGTGAAGGGACGTAACACTTTTAATTGAATGCC